CTCCAGGTCCTGCTGCCCCCGTTCAAAGGTTGTCAGAGACCAACCAGGTCCCAACGAGCCCTGGGATGAATTAGGAGATGCAGGGGCACAGCCGGGGGTTCCAGCTCCACGTGGGGCCCCCCAGGGGTGGTTTTGGGGTGGGACTGGGAGGTTTGGTGGCTCCAGATCTGCTCCAGTCCACACTTGAAAGGTTGTCAGAGACCAACCAGCTCCCAAAGAGCTCTGGGATGAATTAGGAGGTGCAGGGGCACAGCCAGGGGTTCCAGCTCCATATGGGGCCTCAGGGGTCCTTTTGGGGTGAGACTGGGACGTTTGGTGGCTCCAGGTCTGCTCCAGGTCCTGCTGCCCCTTGTCAAATGTCCCCTTGTCAAATGTCCCCTCATCAAAGGTTGTCAGAGTCTGAGCAGCTCCCAAGGAGCTCTGGGATGAATTAGGAGATGCAGGGGCACAGCTGAGGGTTCCAGCTCCACGTGGCCCCCCCCCAGAGGTGGTTTTGGGGTGGCTCTGGGATGTTTGGTGGCTCCGGGTCTGCTCCAGTCCACACTTGAAAGGTTGTTGGAGTCTGAGCAGCTCCCAATGAGCTCCAAGGTGAATTAGGAGGGGCAGGGGCTGAGCTCCAGGGATCCCACTGAGCTCCAGGGATCCCGATGAGCTCCAGGGATCCCACTGAGCTCCAGGGATCCCCCTGAGCTCCAGGGATCCCACTGAGCTCCAGGGATCCCACTGAGCTCCAAAGATCCTGCTGAGCTCTGAGGATCTCACTGAGCTCCAGGGATCCCCCTGAGCTCCAGGAATCCTGCTGAGCTCCAGAGATCTCACTGAGCTCTGAGGATCCTGCTGAGCTTCAGGAATCCCACTGAGCTCCAGGGATCCCGCTGAGCTCCAGGGATCCCACTGAGCTCCAGGGATCCCACTGAGCTTCAGGAATCCCTCTGATCTCCAGGGATCCCCCTGAGCTTCGGGGATCCCGCTGAGCTCCAGGGATCCCGGTGAGCTCCTCCAGGGATCCTGCAGAGCTCCAGGGATCCCACTGAGCTCCAGGAATCCCTCTGAGCTCCGGGGATCCTGCTGAGTTCCAGGGCCTTGAGCTGAGCCCCGCTGAGCTCCAGGGATCCTGCTGAGCTCTGAGGATCCCACTGAGCTCTGAGGATCCTGCTGATTTCTGGGGATCCCCCTAAGCTCCAGGGCCTTGAGCTGAGCCCCGCTGAGCCCTGCTGATGCCCTGCCCTGTTCCCGCAGCGAGCCAAGCTGGAGGCGGCCGTGGCCGAGGCGGAGGAGCGCGGGGAGATGGCCCTCAAGGACGCCCGGGCCAAGCTGGCCGAGCTGGAAGATGCCCTGCAGAAAGCCAAGGCCGACATGGCCCGGCAGCTCCGAGAGTACCAGGAGCTCATGAACGTCAAACTGGCCCTGGACATCGAGATCGCGACCTACAGGAAGCTGCTGGAAGGGGAGGAGAGCAGGTGGGAATTCCCTGGGGAATGGAGCCAGAACTCTGACCCCTCAGCATGGTGGGAGAGCCCAGCTCCCATTTCCACAAAGGAAAGGGAAACACGGGCAAAAAAACCCCTTTTTTAGCTGATTTTTGGTCCTGAAGGGGCTTTGGCTGAAGAGCCGAACTGGCAAATTCTGGGGGGGGGGGGGGGGAAATTGAGAGTTTGGGGGAAAATAAGCAAGGGAGGGAAAAGATTGGTTTCCATCATAAGCAAAGGAGGGGGAAATTGGTTTCTACCCCTTGTGGTGCCGTGGCAGAACATTTCCAAGGGGGAATCCCTGGGGAATTAGGGCAAAAATTCCAGGGGTCTCCAATCCCCCCCAGTTGGGGACATCGGGAGAGCCCAGCTCCCATTTCCACACAAGAAAGGGAAACACGGGCAAAAAAATCCCCCTTTTTTAGCTGATTTTTGGTCCTGGAGGGGCTTTGGCTGAAGAGCCGAACTGGCAAATTCTGGGGGAAAAATATTGATGCTTTTCAGGGAAAACAAGCAAGGGAGGGAAAAGATTGGTTTCCATCATAAGCAAAGGAGGGGAAAATTGGTTTCCACCACTTCTGGTGCCGTGGCAGAACAATTCCAAGGGGAAATCCCTGTGGAATTAGGGCAAAAATCCCAGGGCTCTCCAATCCCCCCCAGCTGGGGACATCGGGAGAGCCCAACTCCCATTTCCACACAGGAAAGGGAAATACAGGCAAAAAAAACCCCTTTTTTAGCTGATTTTTGGTCCAGAAGGGGCTTTTGCTGAAGAGCCGAACTGGCAAATTCTGGCAGGGGAATAATCGAGAGTTTGGGGGAAGATAAGCAAGGGAGGGAAAAGATTGGTTTTTATCATAAGCAAAGGAGGGGAAAATTGGTTTCCACCACTTGTGGTGCCGTGGCAGAACAATTCCAAGGGGAAATCCCTGGGGAATTAAGACAGCACTTCCAGGGCTCTCTCATCCCCTCAGCTGGGGACAGCAGGAGAACCCAGCTCCCATTCCCACAGGGAAACACAGGCAAAAAATGCCTTTTTTAAGCAGATTTTTGGTCCTGAAGGGGCTTTGGCTGAAGAGCAGAACAAGCAAATTCTGGGGGGGGAAAAGAATTGAGAGTTTGGGGGAAAATAAGCAAAGAAGGAAAAAAATTGGCTCCAACTATTTATGGTGCCGTGGCAGAACGTTTCCAAAGGGAAATCCCTGTGGAATTCCAGCACTTCCAAGCTCTCTCATCCCCCCACTGGGATGAGGGGCCGGGGCACAGCCCAGGGGGGAGGTGGATCCCCCGGGAAGGGTCATTCCTGAATTCCCAGCCTTGTCCTACTCCCCAGCCCCGGGAATCCCGGGAATGCCGAGTCTGATCCCTCCTCTCCCTTTGTCTCCTCCCACAGGTTGGCCGGGGACGGAGTCGGCAACGTCAACATCTGTGAGTGGGGGCTGTTGGCTGTGGGGTTTGGTTGTTTGTAGGGTTTTTTGTTTGTGGGGTTTGGTTGTTTGTAGGGTTTGTTGTTTGTGGGGTTTTGTTTGCAGGGGGTTTTTTGTAGGGTTTTGTTTGTGGGGGTTGTTTTTTTGTAGGGTTTGCTGTTTGTTTGTAAGGGCCTGAAGGGGCTCCAGGAGAGCTGGAGAGGGACTGGGGACAAGGGCTG